TCCAGCTCCCTGGCTACCTCCAACTGTGCCACCTGCACATACAGTCTATATTCCATCAGCCACCATTGCACAGCCAGCGCTTACAGAGCCTGTGGAGCTAGGGCCCCTCTAAACCACCTGCATAGCCTCCAGGATGGCGGGGCTCCTCCCTCCTGAAAACTGGTCTGAGGCAGCCCCTAAAAAGAACAACCACCAGTCCCCAAGTGGACTTACTATTTGCTGGGGTCTGAGCTTCTACAGCCATCAAGGCTCCCATCCAGGCTTCTTGGATGATACCCTGACCAGCCTATAGGATCCAGGCCCGGCAAAGCAGCTCCGCCTTCAGTGGGAGTATGCACAACTGTGGAGGGTAGGGCTCAGAATTAGGCAGGTACCTTGTAATCCCAAGAGCCTATTCCAGGAACCAGTCCTCTCCAGGCAGTAACCCTGGTCAGGTGCTCCTCCCGCCTGAGCTGTGCACCTGCACATGCACAGTGCACACCCCTAAGCCAGATTTGAGCAGGCCTGGCCCTCAAGCCTATAGAATTCTTGCCAGGCTCCAGCTACTGGCATTGCCACCAGAAGCATAGTCTCTGGGAGCAAGCGGGGAACAGAGGACACCCCGTCCTGCCTGCCACCTGGCCCCACCCTGTCAAAGGAGTTGAAAAAACCCTCCAGCTCTGCCTTGGGATGAATACGCCCTAATGGCAGGTAGACCTTGAATTAGGCTGATGTGTTGTACCTCCTAGAGCTTGCTCCTATCGTCCGGCCTTTTCCAGCACTTGCCCTATGCTAGGTCCCTGGCCCCCCGACCTGCACGTCCTGTGCATGCACCATACGTGTTCCATCAGCTGCCTTTGGGTAGGTGAAGCTCTCCAGGCCGCAACAAGCACCAATCCACAACCACCTTCGTAGGCGCAAATGTGGAGATCGCCCAACACTGAATATTGCTCTGAGGTGGCCACTGGGATGGGCAATAGTCTTCACCTGGACTTACTTTCCGCTGGTTTTCTGGGCTTCTGCTGCAATCAGGGCTCCTGAGTATGTTATTGGAGGATATTCCAGCCAGCTTACTGTATCCATCCTACGCAAGACAGTCCAGCTCTGTTTTCAGGGGGAATAGTTAGGGCTTGGAATTTGGCAGATACCTTGTAATCACAAGAGTCCACTCTCATGATCAGGCCCCTCAGGACACTTGCCCTGTTCCAGATCCCTGTACACCTGCACATGCTTAGTCTACACTGTCAGCAGGCACCGTATCAGGCAGCTCGTCCAAATGGGCCACCTGAGATCCGTGACTACTGACGATGCCCAGGACTGCAGCAGAGAGCGAGTCTACGAGGTGACCGACTCGCCAGCTTGAGCTACCACCTCAGAACAATTTTCAAGTGGTGGCCTCCCCCCATCCTAGAGGCTATTCAGGTCATTTTCATCTCACCTGAGCGCCATAGGCTTCCAGAGCTAAAGGCCTACTGATGCGTGTGGACCATATATGCCCTGGTGGCACAGGTCAGGGTAGTGAGGTATAGGGAAGGGGCAATGTCAGGCAAGGCTAGGTCATAAGAGTGGGCTAATAGGGACATCTAGCATTCTCTAATTCCAAGCCTTAACCTACACAGTGTGCAAATTCCTGCTCACAGCAGAGCTGTAGGAATATGGACTGCTTTGCTAAGGCAGGGCTAGACAGCTTGGCCAAAGTATCCTCCAAGAACACACACTTAGAAGGCTTGATTGCAGAGGGAACTGGGGACCCTAATAGGCAGCGGGTCCATGGTGGGCTTAGAGGTCACTTTCTCTTACTCTTGAGGCAATGCCAATGATTGAGGATGGATCATTGCTCCATAGGCCTGTAGGCCCCTGCTGCCCAAGGGCGGCTTATGCGGTGTACTGTGCATGCACGGACCTCGAAGGTCAGGGTAGCCAGAGACCTGTTCGAGGGCAGGTGTCAGGAGTGGCTGTGTAATGGGAGTGGGTAGTGAAGGGTATGAGGTGTCTGCCCAATTCCAAGCCCTAACCTCCGCAAGTGTGCTTATTTCCTCTGAATGCAGAGTTGGAAAAATCTGGACTGCCTTTCCAGTGTCCTGTCAGGCAGACTGGGGGGTGAGGGTGAGGTTCCAGATAAATAAGATATAGTTTTAATGTTTCAAGGAGCTAGATTTCTGGGTTTCTGAAAAAAAAATAGCAGATATATTTTTCTGGAGCTCAGGTAAATTTGAGGTCCATACAGTTGGGGGGGGGGGAAGGAGAGTTTCACAATTTGTCTCCAAATGGTTTTTTTTAAATGCATTCCAATTTTGTCATTCATAAGGCATGTTATGTATCAGCATAGGATGCTCTAAAGAATAATCCACAGCAATGAAACGATTTTTTAAATTTTTATTTATTTATGATAGAGAGAGAGAGAGAGAGAGAGAGAGAGAGAGAGAGGCAGAGACATAGGCAGAGGGAGAAGCAGGCTCCATGCACCGGGAGCCTGATGTGGGATTCGATCCCGGGTCCCCAGGATCGCGCCCTGGGCCAAAGGCAGGCGCTAAACCTCTGCGCCACCCAGGGAACAGCTGTCTCATCACAAAACTGGAGGTGAATCCACGGGGATATTTTCTTACTCTTCATTTGCACCGACAGCATCACAGTCTGAATGTCTCATCGATTTCTGAAGTCCCTGGAATAGCACCATTTGTTTATTTGTTATAGTTTCCTGATGTTGCGGATATATCAGAACTGGCTTCAAAGGTCAGGCGGGCATCTTATATTTGGCTAATCCACGTTGGCTAAATCTGGCTTTAGCTATGTGGAGAAAGATAATGGCTATTTTGAACTACGTTTGAGTGGGGCCCTGGAGGGGAAAAAAGGACATGAATCATGTGGGAGCCGCTCCAACCGCTCAAAAGGCCACAAGACACCTCTCAGAGAGGGTGTGGAAGCTCCTGCTAGATCCTTCACTGGACTTTAACCCAGCCCGATACTGAACCCAGCCAGACTGTTATGAAGCAGGGACTCTTTGAAGAAATATTAAGTATTTAGAGCACTAAGGTCAGAGATCCATGAAGCCCCAGCACCTCCAAGAAATCCTTCCTTCCTTGGCCAAGGGAACAGCTAAAGATCAAAGAAGCTTCTGTTTCCCACCTCGGGAGCAGGAAGGGAAGCAGGAATGCTTCAGGTTGGCTCCCCGAGGTATGTCTGAAACCTGAAACCCGAGACGGGGTCCTCTCAGAGCAGTGATTCAGGATGAGGCAAGAAAACTTGTGGGAGCAAGTCCCATTCCAATGTTCAGGGCAGGGAAGTGGTCTAGGGTGTCCACCTGAGTACTGAGAACAGGGATTATTTCCCTGTTTTAGGGTAGGGTTTTGCAAACATAGAGCTGGAAGGGACCTCAGGAGCAATCTCCTCTAAACTTTCTTGTTGCCATGGAACCCTCTCTTCAAACAAAAGCTTGCAGAGGGGCCCTAACACAAACCCGCAGGACAGCAGGATTGCTGGGGGTGCAGCAGGGAGGGTCAAAAACCCCACAAGAGCTTATGCATAAAATTAGAATAACTTTAAGCATTGGAAGAAGTTTTATTTCTACCCTCGAGAATTTAAAGCAACATTGGTCAAAGAGAATACAGCTCCCCCCAAGTGATGCATTCTTAATTTATCAAGTGAAAAGCCTTTGGATCCTTGAGGACATTTTGGCTTGGAGGCTTGAGAACAGGGAATAAATATGACTTTTAGTCACCCAGACAGGAGCCTCGGATGGAAATTCTCGGATGTACGGACTGTGCTGTGCGGGTTTGGGGCCAGGAGTCCCCGCGCCCCACCAGGCGGCGCCCCTGCTCGGCACCCAGAGAGCGCTCGTCCCTCTCCCCGAGGCCTGGGGGCCCCGACTGTGCAGGTGTCGGAAATCCAGTTAGAGACGCGGCGCTCGCTCAAGGAAACCACACTCGGTTCTTCGGTTCTTCGGTTTTAACCTCCTCCCTTCTCACGTTCGTTCCAACGATCGAAATCCGCCTAACATTCGGGTTACTGAGGTTTCTTCGCTTTTCAGAAAAAGGAAGAAACAAATCCCCCAAATATTCCCTGGGAGGGGGGTGGAAACTAAGATAAAATAAAGCACACACAGGAAGAGCTTTCCGGGGGTGGGGGTGGGGGTGCTGGTGCTGCCGAAGGAAGGCTGGGGGCTGCGCTCGCTGCAGCGCGGCTCCGCGGGCCTCAGTTTACTCATCCGTGAAATGGCTCTTTGCGCCCGCCCCCCACCCACGGGGGAGCCAGACCGACGTCAGCTTTTTTTATTTTGTAAGGTTTTATTTATTCATGACAGACACGCACAGAGAGGGAGAGAGAGACAGGCAGAGACACGGACAGAGGGAGACGCAGGCGCCCTGCAGGAGCCCGACGCGGGACTCGAACCCGGGTCTCCAGGGTCACGCTAAAGCGCTGAGCCCCCCGGGCTGCCCCATGATCAGCTTAAATGCTGCATCCCGCTTCTGTCTGCAAAGGGGCATGTCACAGACCGGCCGCTGATTAAATAAATAGCTCCCTGCTCCTAGGCGCCGGGACACAGTGGCCCTACGTGAGTCTACCATTACCGCGTCCCGCGTTCTTATTGCTTCCATTACCCTCCGGCGGGGGGTGGGGGTGGGGGTGGGGGTGGGAGTGGGGAGCCCCCCCTCCCGTGGGAGAGCCTCGAGGGAATTGCACTTTTTTTTTTGATTATTAAATGCATAGTCCAGGGAGGTTTCCGAAGTGCAGGCGCCAACGCGCCGAAGGGCGGCGGGCCGGGAGGGGCGCGAGCACCGCGGAGCAGAAACCGGGGACCAGGCGCTGCTTCCGCACGTGCTCGGGGACCCCGCCCCCGCCCCGGAGCTCCCGGAGCCCGCGCGCCCGCCCGGCCTCGGCCCCGCCCCCGTGCGTCACCGCGCAGCTGCGTCGAGGCGGTCCCCGGGGCGTGCCGCCGTTGCTAGGCGACCGCGCGCTGCCCCTCCCCCGCCCCGCCCCTCCCGCCGCCGCCGCCGCCGCCGCCGCCGCCGCGGTCCGCGCTCCCCGCCGGGCGAGTCGCGAGCGGAGTCGCGCGGGGCCGCAGTGTCTGCACGCCGGACCCCCGGAGGCCGCCGCCCGCGCAGGTGGGCCGTGCACGCCGGGCCTCCAACCGCCGCCCCTCCCCCCGGGGCTCCCGAGCTCGCGGATGGGAGGCACGGCTCGCGGGCCCGGGCGGAAGGATGCGGGGCCGCCCGGAGCCGGGCTCCCGCCCCAGCAGCGGAGGTAACGGCGCCGCCGCGGGGTAACGGGCGAGGCCCGGGCGGAGGCTGCGGGGGCCCCTCGGGGACGGCCGGGGGCTGGGCTCCGACCCCTCCCGGGGGACCCGGCGGCCGCCGCCCCCCCTCCCCCCGGGCCCACCGCGGTCGGGAGCAGCCGGGGCGGAGCGGGGCGCGGTCCGGAGCCACAGGGAGCCGGGCGGGCGGGCAGCGGGACCTTCGCGGGAGCCCTGTTGCTCTCGGAGCCGCTCCCCGAGGGCTGAACTCTTGGGGTGTCCCCGCGAGGGGTGCGGTCCGCCTTGGGATGTGCAGGTGCAAGGTTCTGCCGGGTCGGGCTCTCTGGGGATCCCACAGAGAGAGATGCTCCACCTTGCATTGTATTTTACACCTAAAAGGAGACCGGGGACCACCACCCCCACCACCGCCTCCCCTCCCCTCCCCTCCCCTCCCCTCCTCGCTTCATTTGCATGCAGACTTCCTTTGGGTAATTTCCTCTGCCTATTTATAGGATTACTTGCAGGTCTTCAGTGGCTTTTTCCTCTATGAATGTGGCCGCCTGTCCCATTTCATTTATTACAATCGTGCTGTTGGCCAAGAGTCGGTCACATGCAGAATTTTTGGTTGTCAGAGAAGCAGTTTTCTTTTTCTTTTTCTTTCTTTCTTTATTTTTTTTTTAGAGAAGCAGTTTTCGTGAAAGATGCAAATAATTTCTATCAGGATGTGAGCTAGTTTGTAATAAGAATAGTCCAAAAAGATCTTATTTCTTTTTTTATCTCATCTTATCTCTAGTCCAAAAGTATCTTAGTGGGCTTGCTATTTATTTATTTATTTATTTATTTATTTATTTATTTATTTATTTATTTATTTTTTAGTGGGCTTTTTGAAATTATTCTTTTGAGTTTCTAGAAGACGTCGATGAAGAAGGCCCTAGAACCAGTTTTTAACAAAAACGGTTTCTAAAGGCAACATGAAGTATTGAAATCTTAAAAGCTGAAGTAGATAGTTCAGCATGTTTTTAAAAGATTTTTAAAAATTCTCCCCGCCCCGGCAATCCGGTCACCACCACCGTTGTATTTGTATGTTTTATGGAAAGATGATACAATGAAAGGCTTATGTATATGACTGGGAAATTCATGTTCTTAGTGGTAGATGAAGTACAATATCTGGGATAGGACCCTCTGGTGGATTAAAGAAATCCTGTCCCTCGTTTGTGGTGGAGGCACAGCGCTAAAGAACCGAGAGGTGGTCCCTGGTCCTTCAGCATTTAGCTTTCCCCACCCCCCAGAAAACGAAGTGGGTAAAGAAGTGAAATTCAGTACATTTTGTAATGTAGAGAATCCCTTTAGTATTTGGTGTAGTATTTATTCAGCTGTACGTTTCTACAAGTTAGGTAGGTGTTAAGTAGGTAAGTAAATAATAAAAAGAAGACAGCCCGAAGACCTTTCCTGCATGTAGCCTGGCACTATTCTCATTTTAACATGTGGAAAACAAGCTCAGAGAAGGAGGTAGTACAGCTAGTGGTAGAGCTGAGATTAGAATCCAAGACTCTGACTTGTAAAATGCAGTTACCTCCCCCTTTTTCTGTCTCTTTTTTTCCCCTGTTTTGATTAGGTTTCAGGCTTCAGATTCAAACTAGCCTTTATTTTCAGGTAGTAATTTAAATGAGATCATTTTGATAGTCCCTATTTTTATTTTATTTTTTAATTTAAAAAAATATTTTATTTTTTAATAATCCCTACACCCAGCATAGGGCTCGAACCCACAACCGCAAGATCAAGGGTCGCATGCTCTGCCAACTGAGCCAGCCAGGCACCCCGATAGTCCCTGTTTTTTAGCAACATTCACAGAGTAAGACTCGTTCTATTTCAAAATAAAAACCTAGAAATGCTTTCCTTTTTAGAAAAAGAAAAGTTAGGTTTCCTCTATTCTTTTGCCAAATACCCGCGTTGTTTGTATTTGATGCCAAAATGCAGAGTAGACCTTTATTTGTGTTAATTTGTGGCAGATGTGAAGCAATAAAGACTGCATGTTTTGAATATACAAGCTCATATGCTTAAGTTACTGATGGATTTTATCTGTAACCCTTTCAACTAGATTGGGGGATGGTGTCTATGATACCTTCATGATGATAGATGAAACCAAATGCCCACCCTGTTCAAATGTACTCTGCAATCCTTCTGAGCCGCCTCTGCCCAGAAGACTAAATGTAAGTAAATGAAGTAGTTCTTTGCTCTCTAGTTGCCTTGGAAAGAAGGAAGTGCTACTTAATGCCCAAGGTACAGTTACAACATCTCGCTGGCAACCCAGACTCTTTTGTTTCCTTTTGGTTTCTCTTGACTTTGAAATAACAGTTGCCATAGTCCAAGTTTAGCTTTACAGAACGATTTTGGTCTGGAGCCTTACTCCTTTCAATCACGGGGGTAAATATGTGGCATTTTACCTAGGGAATATTTATTTTGTTTTAGAATGACATAGACAGCATGTTATGAAGGCTCATTTTAACAAAACCAGGAACGGAAGATACCCCTGAATTCATAGATGTGCAAATTTTTTCTCCCTGCTCGATAGAAATGCAGTCCTAGCTTATTAGTATGCTACAGAGAATCACTTTATAGATCATAAAATAAAACTCGAGCGGTACAGTTTTGGCTTTTGATGCATTTAGTCATTCTGGAGCTTGCAGACATTGAGCTTTTGACACTGTTTTACTTAAGGTAATAAAAAAGATTAATTTATATTCCCTCAGCATACACAAGAGTAGTGGGGAGAACAGGCTTTGGACGAGTTCCATGACAGGGAGAAGCTGTCCTGTGACTTTAACATTTGCTGCAGATACCACCTAATGAACAAATTGAATAATTGAATATGCTAATTTGTAATTTCTCCTTCACATTTCTGCATTCAAGACCTCAAATTGTTTCTATATTCCAAAAAAAGTTACTTGTATTTTTCATAGCCCTCTCCAACTTTTTGTCTGCTTTTGCTATTAAACTCAATCTTTTCACTAGTTCCGAGGCTAATAATATTACAAAGTATTGGCTAAATATATTTGGAAGGCTGGTCACCCTATTTTTAATGTGTTCTCTGGAGTACAGTAAGTTTCCTTTCCATTCTCAGCAAGCCTATTTCTTTAATATGTGAAAAACCTCTAAGAGCTCCAGAACCACATACTCCTCTGGTTTTCTATCAGTTTTCTTGGTTACTGGCTGCCAATTAGCATGTCTCTGTGGGAAACTTTTTGCAATTGGGCTGGCACATTAACATGTGACTTAAAAGTTCACTTTAATTTAGAGTTAGCCCATGCTAATCATCTCCCAGTAGTTCAATTACATTGTATATTTCAGGATCACAATGAATTTCTTATTATGTGTGTATAACCCACAGAATAACAGTTTTGGGGAAACCTGGGATTTTCCATTCTAGCCTAATGGTGTCTTTGCAAACTTTGCTGAAAAAAAAGGCTCTGAGCTCTTGTTGACATTTATAGTTCATTATGACACAATTCCATCCCCGGACCCTATTACTCTTTTCACTCACAAAACCTTTAAGCTTCATTGTTTATTCAAGATGTTCTTAGGTTCTCATTGTATACTATAAATCGTCTGCTTATAGGCTTTTATTGGGCTAAGCTTAGTGTTGCAGATTTAGGGTCAAGAGCTAGGGAAAGAGTATGTAGTGGTTCATATTCTGGATGAGAAGGATATTGCTTCTCAGAATTTCTCAACAAGATCTTCAAGACTTGATTAACATGGTTGAAGATTCTATTTGAAATGTCAAGAGCTTTCCAAATTAACAGTGTATGTGATGTATTCTTAAATAAAACATGATTAATATGACATTATCTGTCCCTGTGGTATAATTACATAATGAAGAAAATAATTGATATAGTTGGTCAATTGTATTGCTCAGTTATTGTGATTCTAACTACAGACTACAAACATATGGTATTTTATAACTATTATACTTTAACATGCATGCAAATTGTAGATTCCCCTAGAACAATGGAAGGAAGATTTTATTTATAGCACAACCGTCTTGATACATAATTGATTCAGGCCAGTATTTGAGTTATTTACAGGAAAGGAAAGAAACCTAAGAGGAGAACCCCTCCCTGTGTGGAAAAATTCCTTCCTGGAATTCTTCAGATTCATTGGGGATTCAAAGCTTGATAATCCATAGTGGACTGTACCTGAAGCATGGTGTTCTGTTCTGGGGGGCCACACTTCAAGAGAGACGTGAAGTGCAGCCTGTGTCAACACAGTCAACAGTGTGAATAGGATAGTAAGCAACCTGACACAAGCCATGTGAGGTAGAGGATGGAATGCGATGATGAGCCCAGAGAAGAATGGTGGGGGCAGGACAGCTGCACTTAGGTATCTGAAGGACGTTTACATGACATTTGGCCACTCCTGTGTAGTTCCAGAGGGCAAAATGAGACTCAATATTTAGGGAGGGAGATTTAGGCTCACTTTAAGGAGAAACCATCAGTCAGGAAATCCAAATGACATCCTTAATTTTATTGTTGATGTGAAAATTAAATGTCTGTTTTATATCTGTCCTTATGAATGTTCTGTGCCTGAGACCCTCTCTTTATCACAAACAGAAATGAAGACGTCCAGAGCCAGCACAGCCTTACATGTAGGCAGAGTAGGTTAAAAAAAAAAAAAAAAAAAAAAAAAAAAACAGGGATGGATCCTGGACCACAAATCCTTTTCCTACCAGCTTGTCACTGATGATTGGAGGTTCCCAGAGTCATTTCTTTGCATTAAAGTTCCAATATCTTGAAGAGGTGACACCTTCAATTGTATAGCAAGTCGCAAGCAGGTTTTCTGTTGGAGGGAAAGTGGGTGAGGTATTTCCATGCGTCCTAAAGGAAGGCCTAGTGTGGGGGCCGGCATACTGCAGGAGACATATCTAGTGCCAGATGTCTGGTGGAGGGAGACTGGAGATAGGGGAGGAGGGCCTACGGAGAGAAGAGAGAAACTGAAGGGAAAGAGGGCGCATGTTGAAAATTTTGCCTAATTATTAGCCAGTGTTTATAAAATGTTTTATAACTTGTAAAGGTCTTTCACATATATTATTAATTATAATTTGGTTCACACAGCCTCCTACAAGGAGGTATTATTATCCACATTTTATAAATAAAGAAACTAAGGCTAATAAGCTGGGCGGAAGGTCAAGGGACCTGTCCAGGGACCTTACAGCTTTTAAGCAGGATAGGCAGGACTCCAACCCAAACCATTTGACATATCTTTCCTTCAGCACTTGACTCCAACACCCTGTAAATATGTAGATGCATTGACATTAGGTAGTAAAAACGTGAAGGGAAACTGAGATGCCTGCAGAGTTTCGCTTTTATTATGTAAATCTATCTAAAACCAAACAATGAATTGTGAATTAAATTTAATTAAAGAATTAAAATTCCCTCGTTCAGCCTAACCTATCTTCTCCTGGATTGTATTTCTTGAGAACACCTGGGGTTTTATCTTTAGCACTCTTAATAGTGAACAGTCGGGGTCCCTGTGACCCTCACGTGGCTGGATGGATAGATGAATGGGACCCTCTTCTGTTTTTTTTCAGTCCTAAGTACAGGAATAGTCATGTGACTTAATTTCTGTGAAGAAAAATGTTGCATTATATTTACATCTTACTTAGCAAGGTATTTGTTGTCTGCAGGCCTGTTTTATTTTCTTGACCAGTGGTAGCTCTCTGTTTTGGCATCGGAGAGATTTTTTTCTCCGACCATATGTCAGCTCTTAAACACTTCTTGCAAAGTGTGGCTGCAGTCGTATTGGCCGCGTCACTTGTGTGTGCAACCGCGTAGTACCCTGTTTTTGTAACTTCAGGACTCCATAAATGTTAGAAGTGGTTAAATGACATGAAAGGAGCAGCCGGCAGGAACAAATGTCCTGCTTTTATAACTACAGTTGTGTGTAAAATTTGCCAACACTAAAATTTTTCGTCATTTTTTTGCTGCTATTTATATTTTATCCTTTTTTTATATTGTTCTTTAGGCAATAGGCCTGTGCTGTTTTCTTAGGTTATATCAAAATTCTACCTTTTAAAGATTCAGCCACTTTGGATCATTAGCTTTCCACAGGTAATAAGAAAAGAATCTTCTTGGTTTTTGATTTTCTTGAATCTTGAATCTTCCTGATTTTTTCTTAGTGTATATGTATAATTTTTTGTAATTCTCTTTTTTGCTTTTTTCTCCACCTAATTTCAAAGAATTGTATTTCATCTCAGAAGAATGAGTAGAACTTTCTTCAGTGAGTTAGTGTTTCTTGAAGGAGAATGTTAAGCAAACTCAAGTAAAAAGAGTAGTATGCCTTTATCACGCAGGCTCTTGCTGAGGAAGAGTGGGTGATAGGTGTGGGTGAGAGACACAGGAGAGAGACTCCCTATTTCCTCGGGAGAGTTTTACAAGAACCTCTCCCGCCCCATCCCCTGGGTCCTTGGATCCTCACTCTTACTCATCAGATACGTAAAGAATTGTCCCAGTGGACCTTCGGAGTTCCCTCTGGCTTAGAACTCTTAGGATTCAGTGAGCTGAGCCAGAAGCATTCAGTCATTTGGGGGCAGCGGGGAGGGGACCTGGGACTAGATAATGAGCTCTTGCTTGATTCCAGGCCATAGCCATCATTCAGCCCTGGTAAAGAGTAGTACACGTACTAGGAGAACCTGGTGCCAAGTTGTGTTCATGAGAAGGGTGCTGGACTGACAGGAGACCTGGGTTCAGATCCTGCTTCTGTCCCTTAATGATGCTTTATCATTTATGGAACACTTCTTCTCTCTCTCTCTCTTTTTTAACAGAACACTTTAATACGTATATTTTCATTCTGATATATGCCCTTAAAAATTGGGAAGATACTTGAAACTGTAAATAAGAGGCAGTATGTATGTAATCGAGTGCCAGATTACATGGTACAGGTGTGAAAAGCTGCAGAGGTTAATCAACACGGGCTTGGAGTAGTTCTAGATGGAAGTGGGGGAGTGGAATTGGGCCTTGAAATACTGTAGGATTAGAGGGGATCAGGTAAAAAGATTCTCAGCAGAAAGACATACCTATTAGAAGGAACCTAGCACATTTAGGGTTTGGGAAGAAGACCATCCTCTCCTGAACAAAGCAGGCCATAAATCGGGGGTTGAAGTGGGCATGATACTTGGAGGCGGGCGGTGTTGGGGAGGCCTGAAGATGAATATAACACAAATCTCTAGAGACTCCTGCTTTCCTTATCTCACTTTTGGGTCATTGTAACCTAACATGACTGGACGGTTTTGTTGTCGTTCAGGCAGGGGAAGGATTCTTTTATCCTTCCACTGTTTTTAGTGGCTTTACCATCACATTCATTTTTCTTTTCCATAGATCACTGCTGAGCAGTTAACAAGAGATCACACTCAGCGCTTCCTGAATGGAGGTGAGGTGAAAGTGGAACAGCTGTTTCAAGAATTTAGCAACAGAAGATCCGATACTCTTCAGTCAGATGGCATCAACGACTCTGAAAAATGCTCTCCTACCGTCTCTCAGGGTAAAAGTTCAGATAGCTTGAATGCAGTAAAACCCAGCAATTCAGCCAAATCATCCAAAGTGGTGCCACTGACTCCAGAGCAAGCCCTGAAGCAATATAAACACCACCTCACTGCATATGAGAAGCTGGAAATCATCAATTATCCAGAAATCTACTTTGTGGGCCCAAATGCCAAAAAAAGACATGGAGTGATCGGTGGTCCCAATAACGGGGGGTATGATGATGCAGATGGAGCCTATATTCACGTACCTCGCGACCATCTAGCTTATCGATATGAGGTGCTAAAGATTATTGGCAAGGGGAGTTTTGGGCAGGTGGCCCGGGTCTACGATCACAAACTTCGACAGTATGTGGCCCTAAAGATGGTGCGCAATGAAAAGCGCTTCCATCGTCAAGCCGCTGAGGAGATCCGGATCTTGGAGCATCTTAAAAAGCAGGACAAAACCGGTAGCATGAACGTCATCCACATGCTGGAAAGTTTCACATTCCGGAACCATGTTTGCATGGCCTTCGAGTTGCTGAGCATAGACCTTTACGAGCTAATTAAAAAAAACAAGTTTCAGGGTTTTAGCGTCCAGTTAGTTCGCAAGTTTGCTCAATCCATCTTGCAATCCTTGGATGCTCTCCACAAAAATAAGATCATTCACTGTGACCTGAAGCCAGAAAACATTCTCCTGAAACACCATGGGCGCAGCGCGACCAAGGTCATTGACTTTGGGTCCAGCTGCTTCGAATACCAGAAGCTTTACACCTATATCCAGTCTCGGTTCTACAGAGCTCCGGAGATCATCCTAGGAAGCCGCTACAGCACACCTATAGACATATGGAGTTTTGGCTGCATCCTTGCAGAACTTTTAACAGGACAGCCTCTCTTCCCGGGAGAGGATGAAGGGGACCAGTTGGCCTGTATTATGGAGCTGCTAGGGATGCCACCACCAAAACTTCTGGAACAATCCAAACGTGCCAAGTACTTCATTAACTCTAAGGGCCTACCTCGCTACTGTTCTGTGACTACTCAGGCAGATGGGAGGGTTGTGCTTGTGGGGGGTCGCTCACGTAGGGGTAAAAAGCGGGGCCCTCCAGGTAGCAAAGACTGGGTGACAGCACTGAAGGGATGTGATGACTACTTGTTTATAGAGTTTCTGAAAAGGTGTCTTCACTGGGACCCCTCTGCCCGTTTGACCCCAGCTCAAGCATTAAGACACCCTTGGATTAGTAAGTCTGTGCCCAGACCTCTCACCATTGAAAAGGTGTCAGGCAAACGGGTGGTAAATCCTGCGAATGCTTTCCAGGGACTGGGTTCCAAGCTGCCTCCAGTTGTCGGAATAGCCAATAAGCTCAAAGCTAATTTAATGTCAGAAACCAACGGTGGTATACCTCTGTGCAGTGTACTGCCAAAACTCATTAGCTAACGGACAGTGCTGTGCTCAGAGATGTATATGTATGTATTTTTAATTATCCTGCAAACCTGAACATGGGGAGAAAATGCAAGCCCATTGGTGGATATGTTTTTGTTACGCTAGATTTCTTTTTTTTTAACAAGGCAAAACATTTTTATATGACTGTAACAGAACTCTCCAAGGGCTAATTACCTAACCAGCCTGTGTTGGCCATCCTGGAATGTACATTAAATGACGTTTTATAGGTCAGTGCATCTTCGTTATTGTCGTCAGATGTACATCACCTTATGCTCCCACTGCTTTACATCCCTTTCTCTCAAGATACAGGGTACCCGAGAAGTCTATCCTGAGCACTCGTCACTTCTCGTCTCCCTCAGCGTCTGTTCCAGAGGGGTAGTTTGGGACACAGCCCTGCTTCGTTCGGGATGAGAGCTGGAGCCAGTAGCCTTCTCGCCCCAGCAGGCCATTCCGTGAGCTCATTCCAAGGGGAAAGGGCTCAGCAGAATATGGGGCAGGGGAAGGTTCTGGAAGCTCTTAGTCACTTAAAGAAGTGGTGTCACTGCTTCTCGGTGACTCATTCTCTTTCTCTCAATCCTGTAATGTGTGCTGTGTTAACTTTATGTTATGACTTTTATGATTATTTTGCTTCGGATTTGTTTCCCGGGGAAAGCATTTTACAGATGTCCTGCCACTTTACCAAGCGCTGGTTTTAAAACTAAGCCCTGTGTGTCACTTTACCACCCCGCCCCACCCCTCTCTGCAGGGAACACAAAGCAGCGTGCAAACTGCAGCTCTGAATCCCGAATCGGAACCCTGGGGACCAGCCTCCTTGCTGCCTTTCCATGGACTTCTTCCTTATGAAAGCCTCACTATCGGATAAACCTAACCACAGGCCCTCCTCGCCCCCCAGGCCCCGGCTCCTCCAAGTGCCACAGTCTTCCCCACTGTCCCTTTAAGCCCAAGACTATTCCTGAGATTCCGAGTGAACTTCAATTCTAAGAAAATCCAGACACCAGTAGTCGTCCACTTCCTTTTCCATCCCTCGAGCCTCCTTCCTTTTTCTCTGTCAAGATTCAAACAGTGAGGGCTGGCGGTAAAGCTAACTGCCAGCTGAACTTCCTCCTTGGAAGCGTGGGGAAGATACAGGAACCAAGCCGCCCCTACTGCTGTCTTGCCCTCTGCTTCTGCCCCCACCCCCCACCCCCACAGGGGCACCTGCACGCAGGCCTCCCTGTGCCCTCTAAGGGAGACCGTTGCTTCCTGCAGCACCATCTCAGGGGGACCCAGTTCCTTTTTTCCTGTTGAGTCTGCGAGCTCCACAAGGTGGGAAGACCTTAAGATTCCCGGGAAACAACCAAAAGAAGAGAAAGGCCAGGGGCGCACGGTTGAAGGAACTCCCTCCGGCCTTACCCCGGACCCCGATTGCCACAGCCCAGGCTCTGAATACGGAGCATGAACCGGTGTCCACGGAGCATGGCCTGAGCCCCCCCCCCAGCAGGAGTTCACATGGAGGCCTCGGCCTCTTGAAACCGGGGATGTCCTGGTGCTTCTGGTGGCTGTGCAACCGCACTATTTAAAACTTGAATCACTCCCTTCACTCCTGGTTTCCAGAAGGCGAGAGAACACACCTCCTGCTGAGCTCTCTGCCTGATGGTGACGTTGCATAAGAAGCCCCTGGTTATCTTGCCAGAGCACGTGTTGAGGTTGTCTTGCCCGTTGCTATCAGTGTGGAAGGCAAACTGTTAAAGAAGACTGCTGCCCCAAACACATCTGCCGTGCCCGGGATTCGATGTTTGTGTTTTTAGTGAGTGGTCTCCTAGGTCAGCGTGTGCTGAGGCGGGAGAGGAGGGAACCTGTGCATGAGCATGGCAGGGGGTCTGTTTCTGCGCCTTGGGTGGACCTAGGCTTCTGAAACCAGGCCCAGTGACGGGCCATAGACAACCCGTGACACCAGAGACAAATTCTAGAAAGCTCTGGGAAGGTGGATGGATGTGTTTCTGCCTAAGTTTGGCAACCTAGGGAGTGACACAGAGCAGAGTCACCCAAGCTGGCACGCCTGTCTTCTGTCGCCGTGTCAAGTTGGGGAGGGTGGGCTGCTTTAAAACGTGATGGCTGTGCCAGACGGAGCTGGGGAGGTTTAGGAGTTGGTTTCAAGTTTAGGGGCAAGTTGTCATTTTTAGAGGCTGTTACCCAGTGCCCGCTTTTATCAGCCACTGTGGAATTTTCACTTGGATCCCTGCCCCATAGCAGGGAGTGACTAAATTGCAAGAGGTAGTGCAGAGATTGAGGCTAACTGACACTTACCGAATTGTTCTTTAGCCGTTCTTGTTCTTCGGGTTATTTCAATTTAACAGGTCAAGTTGGTTGACTACTGATTTTTAAATTGACTGAATCAACTGAGTTTCCAAATTGCTATTGACACCGTGAAGAGAGTTGGGTAGGAATTTTTGTTTCCGTTCCTGAAGTCATTTTTTTTTTCTTTCAATGTGGGAAATTGGCTGATCCAGCTCATACCTACCTGCGCCTTGTATCCGGCCCTCTCCTACCTTCTGTCGTCACAGTGATTCGTCTGTTCATCACATGCTATCGTGGTTTCTCCTCTACTGGAATGTAAGCTTCAAATGGGCAGGCCCGTGTCTTCACGGCCTAAATTAACCGATTGTAATGCTATTCATGTGCAGCTGATGGAGGTTCGTTTCCCTCGGTGTACCAGGAACGTGCTCAACTCCTGTCTTCTTTTAAACTGGCCCACACTACCTCCAGTCTCTAATTTCTCCTTTTTGAAAAAGGGGACTCGGAGAAGGGTTATGTGAGGACACCTCCTTTTGGTCTGGTACTTGACACCTTGATGATCATGAAAAATGCAGCCATAAGCTTAACTATGACTTAAAGATTCTGCTTCCAGCCTGCGGGGACTCTGAAAGAGGAGAGGGTCTAGCCTGGCTCTTGCCCGAAGACATTGGGTTAGGGCTATAGTAGCATGCTTTAGTCCTAGGTGGGGTGTTTTTTTTGGGGGGAGGGGGTTGGTTTTGGATGTGGGTTTGTTTTTTGTTGTTTTTAGAGAGGGAGGGGGCAGAGGGACAGAGGGAATCTTAAACAGGCTGCACACCCAAATTGGAGCCGGATGCGGGGCTCGATCTCACAACCCTGAGATCCTGACCTGAGCTGAAATCAAGAGTCTGCCATTTAACCCACTAAGCTGCCCAGGCTCCCTGAGCCCTAGGTGTTTTAAGAGGGTTTGAGACAGACGGGTTAACTGGCTAGTGTCATCATACTCTAAATGTTTTGACCCCTAATCTGTTGAGAGTGGGGTTTATTGCATGATCAAAAAACAACAGAACAAAGGACTAAATAAGAAGTTCAACTGTGAGACAGTTTGGATCTGTAGCAGCTGGTCGCCTTGAAACACTTTCTGTTTTCCCTAATTCCTAAGTAGGCATAATTAAAGTTAAATGCTGGGATCCCTGGGTGGCGCAGCGGTTTGGCGCCTGCCTTTGGCCCAGGGCGCGATCCTGGAGACCCGGGATCGAATCCCACGTCGGGCTCCCGGTGCATGGAGCCTGCTTCTCCCTCTGCCTGTGTCTCTGCCTCTCTCTCTCTCTGTGACTATCATAAATAAATAAAAATTAAAAAAAAAAAAAAAAACTAAAGTTAAATGCTAAATTTTAGGGAGCAGCTGATAAAATGCTTCTGCGCTTTCCTCACAGAATACTCCTACAGCTTTAGTGAGCCGTGGAAAACTTTTAATTATTTCTCAGGCATCTGTTGTTTGATGTCCTCAGCATGGAAGGTGGAAAAGCGACCGTGATCCTTCTGAGCTGCCTCCGTACACTCTTTTCTGCTCTTGAGAACTAAGGATAAGTCCCTAACCTTTGAACCAGGTGGACCGCGCATGTGTTCCTCCAGGTCTTCAGTCGTGTTGGAGATAACTGGTCTGTAGAGCACTGTAACTTCCTGTAGGTAGAGCAACCGCAGCATCCGTGCTAGGAACAACCTGGAGTCTTCCAAATAAGGAGAGAGACGAGACAAGACAAGGGACCGGCACATCGGGCAAGAGTTGTTCTCTGCCAGCATCAGCCTTCCAGTTTTAAGTAGTATTTTTAACATCCTCAGTTCAACATGTCCCACTTTCATCTTCAACGTGTACTTCCTAAAGCCCAGGAATTTAAAAGAATTTAACTTCCATATCTGGCCTTCAACCATAATGGGATTCGGGCAATCCTTTCCAAGTGTCTGTTAAATTATGCCCACTAATTTCAGTGAGGCAAGGTTTTAAGAGTCACAGTGAACCCATCCATGTAAGGACTGAAAGCTCTGGTCCCCGAGATCCATAACCCCTGAGATAAGCCAGAGCTACAAATACATCGTCTAGACTTTGAAGGAGAGAATACGATTCTTAATATAGCTCACCAACCGCTAAGTCGTGCCTAGCCTGTCATAATTTTTCTATAACGGGAGAAGCCTGCCTGGCTGCCTGTTGGCTAGAAAGAGTCTCACCTCCTCTGCCACCGCACAGAAACAGCTAAAAAGAACGAAGGGCCCCAAATCAGGGCAGATGGTGACCCATGACTGTTTGAGCTCAGGGTGTCAGCCCCTAAAGCATCAGGTTTGAATCATTTTGGTATCATGGGACTCGATCATTGTTCATCTGAATCTGCTGACACGCTTCCTCTGGAAAGTATAGTTTGGCATGGATGAGTCAGTGGGTTTTTTGTTTTGTTTTGGGGTGGGGGGGGTGTTTTTTAAAAAATAAAGATGAAATGCTTTGACAATTTTTCAGCATCTCACGATTGTTTCAGAACCAAGGGTGAGAACGTCCGCAGCTGGCCCCGCGTTCCCAGTGTGGTGAGTGGGTACCAGGCAGTATTGGTGCCAACAATGACAGAGAAAGAAATGCTCGACAAAGGAAATAAAGGGACAGGGGTAGGACGAGAGGCAGACTTAACAGAGACTGGGCCTGTTCTTGTAGTTGCCCAGAGCTTGGGGGCGTACACCCCCACTTTGTGGAAAAGGGTAGGGGGAAACCGTGTAGGGATGGCCGTTTCCCCGAGGCCCTGAGTGTCAGCTCTCCTGTCACGATTTCTTACATTTAGCCTTCAGGGCCCCAAGCTTAACTTGAGGATGAATCCTCGGAAGCAGCCTCAAGGAGTGCAGGTTATTTGGGAAGTCTCAGGGTTTGTCTTAGGCCCAGGCCTTGTGCCACTCGTTAACTTAAATACAGTCTGAGGAACGAAGCAAAAGGAAGGAAAGGGAAACGGACTTCTTAGCGGCCCTTGGGCCACTTGGCCCCTGCCTGCTTCTGATCTGGCCCTGCACCATTACTGCCCTGGCCACAGGAGCTCAGGGGACGCAACTCAAGGACCGCCTTCTGCCACCCTTGAATCATCTCCTGGATTCTTGAACAGGTTTTCGCCTCCTGGGAGCCTGGCC